GGGGGTAAAAAAAAAAGAGGCTCGTAGGCACTGTGCCAGACTTTGATAGATGCAGTTCAGACTTTAACATCAGTTGCTGAAGTAGTCATTTATCCAAACCAGACAAACCTGGATCTCCACCAGACATAAAGATGGGATGCTCTCCTCAACAAGGGCACCTTTAGAAATTATTAGTAGGGGCCATTGTGCTTCAAACCGCTCACCACTGAATCAGCATTTGTTGTATACTGTCATCCATATGTGCATTTTACCTCTTAGGAGTTATTTTTGTTTCATCATCTGTCCTTAATCCCTTGAAGTAGTTTTCAATCATTTTGTTTGGTCTGTTTTATTTCTCTTTTATTTTGCCTGGATTGAGGGTTTCTCATGTAAGAACTGCATAGCTTGTGCCTTGTGCCCAACAATGTGCCTTCACGAAGGCCAAGAGCAAACACTTTCATTCTATTCATAAATACAGATACCTCAAATGTTTACTTAAGTACAGTGCTTGAGTAAATGTACTTAGTTACTTTCCTTAGTTGCATTGTAGGCAGAAGAAAGGGAAGTAACATGCTGCTCTTTGTTCCCATGGCCTTCTTGCTGATGAGTAATGCTCATAATAACTCAGAGGTCTGTAATGAAGTTGTTAGAAACACCCACTGCACATATTTAAACATGATTGAGCTGCAGAACCCATGTGTGCATGCCAACAGTCCAACCACACCCTTAGCTACATTGTGTGTGTACAAGCGAGGCGACACTCAATTAAGTAAACTGGAAAAAAACAGGCAAAATAAAACATGTGCTTACTGTATTAGCCTATTGTTAGTCTATTATCTTATACAACACTTAGACTAATCATGTGACAGAATGACCACGTTGCATAACGACCGGACTAGCCTCCTTTAGAAAAGTTGATTTGTTGATAATAGTAAACAATCCTCAGTAAATAATACAATACATTCCTTCCACACCTAAGTGTGTGTTACCTGTAGGAGTTATAATGGTTTTATCAAAATCCTGACAACACAAGTTGTGTAACCTATGCAGTATGCTTGCCGTGCAGGGATGCGATGTGGTCAGTAGGTGAGGTGGGAATGTTCAGAAGTTGGGAAAAAGTGCGACAGTGATTTTATAGTCAGGCGCCGCCCCGCCTGCTGCACTGTGTGACTCGGGTCATGACGTGGACTACTCAGCCTCCTGTAACTGAACAAACCGGTGATGGACGGTAAGAAGTAGCCTCTGTTAGGTTTGGGAGTAGGTGGACTAACTTCCATTTCTCCGTCAATACTAGTGGGGGGAGGGGGATTACTAGGGAAAAAACACTAGTTGTTTGGCCCTCACCTAACTCCATGGAAGTTTTATTTTACCTGGTACAAAAAAACAGTCAGTTTTACCACACTTTGCTACAAATTGATTCACACACACACAAAAGTTTCAAATTGTATTAATGTTCCTATGAGACACAGTGTGCAAATATCAGTAGTGAGTTTTATGTTGTATTGAGTAATGTTATTCTATGGGGACTGCTTTAGTACCGTTACAGCTTTTAGTATTGGTAAATATTTTATAATACAGCTTGAACTGGACAGACAAGAAAACTACATTTCAGCAGATTCTCCTGCAAAAACAAAACAAAAAACCAAAAAGAAAACTTCAAATTGCAGATATTTTTTTCTGGTGTGTATTAATAAATGATTTGTGCCCTCCTGTGGTGGAAATGGGGTATTGCAATCTAGGACTGTGTTACTTGGGAGAACCGAGTTTGTGCTAAACTGTAATGTGCTGACTATAATTATTGATGCATCATTGTGAACATCACGTGTAATGTCTCAGCTGGTAAAGGTGGATGTATGTTAATGTTAACTATCCTCCATGTTGGGGATGTTGGGGAGTAGCGAACTACTTGTAATTAATTTTTTCTTCTGAAGCCTTGCTATTACAGTGACTGTAGTTATGAAGTCACAGGTTTCTACAACAAGCAGTGAGTCCTTTTCAGCCATTCCCATCTCCTACTTCAGAAGTGCAGCCTTTTATAGAACTGACTATTAAAAAGAGTGATGTTTGGGAGTCTAGGAGCTTTGAGCTACATTCAGTACTGTTTGTCTCACACACTGGACCTTTTTCCCGTTCACTTTTAAAATGTTAACATTTGACTGTAACTTAGACAACTAAAGATTGAAACAATTGTTCTTCTCTTGCTACCCTTGTTGCCTTTCTTTTCCCTAACACCACCAGGTACAGACACACAGTGAGTCTGGGCAGTGTGGCTGTGATGTGCCAGTTCTGTAAGCCTCCTCAAGCTCTGGAGGCCACCAAGGGCTGCGCTGACTGCAGGGCCAATTTCTGTAATGAGTGTTTCAAGCTGTATCACCCATGGGGGACACCACGAGCACAACATGAACATATCCAGCCTACACTCAACTTCAGACCAAAGGTGAGACACTGAGTCACTTACTGCTCTATAAACTTCATTTTCATATTTCTTTAAAAACACAAATACATGCATAGTTAAAGATATTAAGGCATTCTATAAAATGGATAATTACAGATCAGTTATATGACAACCTATGTTTAGATGACATGCAAAAAAACCTCAACTTTGTATTCTGGTGATGCGGCATAAATCTTATTTCTTGATGTAGCAGTGTGAAACAAAGGTCGGATATTTTCTAATCACATCTGAGTTGCTATGGATCATTATCCAAACCACATACAACCACCATAAAGAAAGAAAAGGACAACAAACACTATTACATTGGCTTAATGTCTGTACTTCTGGGACCCCCGGCCTGTTGCATAAGACATGTCTTTCTTTTGCCAAAGGAAGAATATAATATAAACACACACTTAACTCCCTGCTATGCTGCTCTGCTCTTTCTCTCCTCAGGTTAATTGTGCCTCAGTTAATCAGACTCTCTTCCTCAGGTTCTGACCTGTCCAGAGCATGACCAGGAGAATCTACAGTTCTACTCTCTGTCCTCTTTGTAAACTGTGCCGCATCCACACCGGACACGAAATCCTTCCAGTGGCCCAGGCATACCAAGCCCTGAAGGTATGACTTTGGAAATCTGTCATGGCCTAGTTTTCTCCAAGTATTCTGTAAAATTAAAGGTTTACTATTTAGAATAGTTCTGGGAAAAAAAGCACATTAACATTGGAACATATAAATAAACATAAGACTGATACTCATAGATGTTACAAACTTGGCTCTTGTGAATTTCCCACTGGGGACCAATGAAGTCTTATGATTATACTGTATTTTGTGTTATTAATATTTTTCTGAAAAGTAACCAATAACTAAAGTTATCCAATAAATGCAGAGTATAAAATATAATATTTTTCCCTGAAATGTAGTAAAGTCGAAGTATGTAGCAGAAAATGAAAGTTCTAAAGTAAAATACAGATACCTCAAACGTTAAGGACTGCCGTGCTGCAGGGTGATGCCGTAACCTCTGGTGCTCCTGCTGTTTCCTGCTACAGTCAGCTTGCAGTCGTCATCTGTCAGAGCTGCATATTCCACCACCGCCATGTCCCACAGAAACGTATATGACTCTCACTTTGCCTGGAAATAGAGACATTCTCCACAACAAGCATGTGCATGCACACACAGGCAGACAGACAGAGACACATATGATAACTAACCGAAAGCTTGTTCAGGCCTACACTAGTTTAACTTAGAAGCATCTTTTAATAAGATGGAATCTTTTTAGGTTTGTTTCCCCTATCAGAGACAAAGACTGCAGTCCCATTTCTTTGAGATTTACAGAAGCAAAACATCTACAAAATTGACCCCGTGCTGATGGGACAGTGGCACAGAGTAGGACTTACGCTTTGAAAAAGTAGTGAATAGAACAAATGGAGCTCAGTCAGCATGCAAAATATTTGCACAGAAACTTGTGTAAACATTTTGCCCATTCATTGGTGTAAACACTGAATGCCATACAAATAAAATTTCTTCACAAAGATGATGAAAACAGATGTGACCCTATCTTTTCTAGCTTCGCATGTAGCATACAGTATTTTCCGAGACACAATCACGTGCCATAGCCTCCACACTATGGAGAATATGTAGAGCAACCACAGCTGAACATCTTTTCCTCGTGTACTTCCCTGGTCCCCCCCTCCAGAGTAAGAATATGCTCTCAGCAAATACAGCTAAACTGGCTTTTCACCTCACATCTCATCAAGAATACACAGGACTCTGAAGTTCACTCACCTTTAAAAAATAAGACATACTGGAGAAATCACATCCCCATCCTACAATAAAAGTGAAGTCAGAATGAGGAACATGCAGTAGTTTGTTAGCTATGAAGAACAACGTATAAAAACAGCTTTTTATTAAATATGTTTGGTGTTAAAACCATCTGTGCAGCAGAGCTACACTGCAGGCCGTTAGCTGCTCAATATGTCTAGAGTCCACTGTAATTTAATTATGCATCACTTTTCAATCTGCTCTTAAGTTTCTATGTTGTGGTGTGTGTGCTTGTTTTTGTGTGTTATAGAGAGAGAAGAGAAAATGCATAAAAAATTTATTCTGCAGCACACCGAGTTTGTGAAAATAATTTAAAGTCCTTGCATTTCAGTGGTGTAAAAATATCACTTTATTCAGAAGTCTGTGAAGTTGTGATGGAAATTGCTGAAGCAAACTTACAGTTTGTTCCTACCTGGTTGTGTGACAGTGACAACCTCCACTTAGCTAATTATCCTCAAGGTTGAGCATATGTTTTGCAGTATTCATTTCTCACTGAGCTGAAGATGAAGGTATAATTGTCATATAATTTATAAGCGTTTATGGTTTCTGGAAGACAAAGCGAGCCTTTCGGTGCCTTTATTATTGTGAAGAATAGTTAAATATTCTATTTTATGGGGCAGAACTGAAATATCTGTCAATTAACACTACAGAGAGAACTGATTTGATTAAATCTGACTAATCTCTGAGTTGGCCTGATTATACTGCATAATAAAAATATTGAATTTGTTTGGCTACCTATAGAAACTGGCAGCATGAGTATAAAGTGTCCTGACATTTTATTTCTGAAGACCAGATGCTCACCTTCTTAATTCCCTCTGATGGGCTGGAGACAGAGTTCTCAAAACCATTGTTCTTGTTGATGGTCTTCCATAGCTCAGCGAATGTGCTGTCCTGCTCCAGAGGGTTGGTGCCTTTGGCCCGGAAATACTCGTACATGGCCGAGTCCTTCACTGTGCCATAAGCCAGATCTGCCTGCTTGGACAGGTCCTGGAAAGACCTACAGTCAGGGTCACATTATCATTAGTGTTGACACATAACTTATTCTCATTTTAACATCAGAAACCAATATAAACTTCTGCTGCTTTCTTGCACAAAGCTTTTGCTAGAGGATTTGAGGGAGTTCAGGTTCCAGTCTGGTGTTTTTGGTACTGGGGATTAGCTTTGTTTATGAGTGAGAAAAATAGAAACAACTGATTAGATATTTAATAGTCTCCATCTTATTGGGTCAGATTACGCTGCAGGCTTTACTGCACTGAATAAAATTTTAGCTTTAACTTTGTCTAACAGCTTAGTTTTATGACTGCACTGGCATTGTGACTGTCATGATTTGGTTCCGCTGCTCCCTGTCCAGCCTTTATTTTGACGTTACTTCCTGTTTTGTTTCACCACAGTTTTGGTCTTTTTACTTTCTTCATCACTCGCAATAGTTTACACCTGTTTTCACTTCTATTTAGGCAGCGTCCTCCCACTAGGATGCTGCCAGATTGTTCTAGACTTCAGCTCTGACTCTCTAGCATTTATATTGGTTTTGGTATCTTGTGTTTTGACCTGGATCGTGCACTTCGACTAGTCTGTTCTTCCCTGCCCTCTGTTTGGACTGCTTACTTGGTATTTGGCTTTCGGACTGTGTTCTGACCTAAGTGTGTTTTGGATATTTCCGTTTTTGTGGTGTCAGACTGTGACCACAAATAAAGACTGTTTTCCCTTTTCCTCTTGTCTGGTGTTGTAATCGAGTCCACCAATTCATCTGGTTGGTCGGTGTAGTGGACACACCTGACATGTGACCCGCTGTGCTCGTGAACTATAGATTTGAGGTCAATCAACCCTATAAATATTTATAACCACCAGCTGGAGTAAACAGAACAGATAAGAGATGAAGGCCCCTGCTTTGTAAGGAGAAAAAAAAGTCAGAGCATTTAAAAATAAAATAAAATAAAAACACAACAGGTGATAATATAAGGCAATGAGTATTTGAAGTAGACATCCGTCATCCATTCTTAAGCGCTTTTCCTGGTTTGCTTTTTCTTTTTTAAAAGCAATGCAATATATAACTTTGATTCCAGATCAATACAGCGAGATACAGCCCAGTCAATTCATTAGCTATGATGGCTGAACCAAGATTGAAGGAAGCACACCAGCCACACGCACAAACCGCTTTTGTCTGTCCCTTCCTGCCATGCAGTGCTACAGAGACACAGCCATGCAAAGACTAATATTCCTCTTGTGTGTACATGGCACTAATTTCCTCTAAGGTATTCTACTTGGAATCAAAGGTGCTAAATGACTAGCGGCATATTTAGTCATGGTTTAGCTTTAAAAATGTCAAATTGGCAACAATTAAGACACAAATGCAAAGAGTTCAGCCTACGAGTTCACTAATTAGTACTAATCCATGTGCTATCCTGGAGGGCAAAAAAGAAACTTATCTGACTCTCACACTCAGGAGAAGGAGTGTTCTTTTCCCCTACTACACTGTGATGTAAAACAGAGTCCCAAGGTGTAGGCAGTTTGTAAAGGCTTATAGAAAAAGCAAACAGTGGAAAGGCCATGAGGTCTTAAAATGAATGAATTAATATGCAAATGTTTGCTTAAGTAACCATACTGCTTTCAAGCAAAGGTGATAATTGTTCTCATTAAGTACACTTTGGCAACAAGGCATAAGCACACACTCAGTGGGAAGCAAGTACACATATTGTACATACTATAAAAGGATTGTACATAGTGCTGCTTTTTAGTTTGCAAGATGGCGCCCACCGAGGTAGACATGTTTGCATTTTCCACTCTCGAATGCCGGCTGGAATGCTGGAGACTCACTCTGTACATCGAGGAGACCGCACTGCTGCTTCGGGGAAGGTAAAAGGAGGCGGTTTGTGCGTCTTTATCAATAACTTGTGGTGTGGAGATGTACGGACTGTTTATAAGCACTGTTCGCCAGACGTAGAGTTTTTATTGCTGAAATGCCGGCCCTAGTGATGGCTGATGGGGCTTTGTTGAAGCTTCGATACAGTATTCACACAAATGGTTCATTACTCGAGGCTTCAATGAAACCGTGCTCGAGTAGGACATCTAGTGGTCAAGAAATTGAAGTGTAGTCAAGATGTGTCACTTATTGGTTCATGGATTGTTTGGGATTTGATTCGCCATGCACATTCCTGTTCGACTACACTACATGGTTGGACGGTTTCAAGCTGACACAATAAAATATAAAATAAACATGGACACATGTTGAAGACCATGTTTCTTATGTGGCACGTCTGAGTGTAACCCTATATGCTCCTCACTTATATTTTGTGTTATGAAAACATTTAGATGGTGCTGCTACATTCATGAGATGTGCCCTACAAATTCAGACAGATGTCATTTTCACACGGGGCTGGTGCAAAAAAAGATTATATTATGGACTTTGGCAAAGTTTGTTTTGGGGTTCATTGGTAAAGAGGTTCATGGGTATCTGGGTAAAGAGGGTGTGCTTGAAGAACAGGGCAGTGTGTGTGCTTGTATAACTGCTTATGAGTGTTTATTGAGAAATAACAGTATATCCACAGTTTTCAGACACAAGCGTTTCTCCTTTTCCAGACTATTTCCCCAGCCTTGGAAAAAACCCGTTCACAAGGCACAGGTGCGGCTGGGGTACACAGGAAATGCTTGGATAATTCATAGAGGTTTGGGTAAACAGTTTTATGGGTGGCCCAGTATGTGAGGGCGTCATCAGTTCTTTCCAGGGGTGGATCAGCCAGGTATCGGTTCACTTCCACAATTGCATTAGCTGTGGTGCTTTGCATGTGCCTGGCTCTGTGTGCATCCTGATCCAAAGGTCTCCACACCTGAAAAATATTGAATATCATCATCACCAGAGGTGTCACTAGCCATGTCGTATTCATAATCAAATATGTGAATAAGTGATTCACATGACAAAGCGAACCAATCAGCTGACTCGCTCGATGGCCGACGAACCCAACTGCTTCGAATGTCAGTCAAGTGCTTCAGACGTCACCAGTCACGTGAACGAAACACGTCTCAGCACAGTGGTTCGAAACAATTGCCTCATGAGCTACCGCGCATGTGTCAGAGCCTTGGGTGTCAAAGGGCCATCACTAGCTGGCCCTACTATCTAGCCAGAGAGCATAGTGCTGTGCTTCTGGCTGCTGTGTATGTTAGCCCAAGAGCTAATCCCTCTGCGGTTCTCAGCAAACTCTATGATGTCATCAGCGCGCTAGAGACAGCGCACCCCGATGCTGTATTTATTGCTGCAGGCGACTTTAACCAGTGCAATTTAAAGACTGTACTCCCCAAATATTACCAACATGTGAACATTCCCACCTGGGGCAAGAACACTCTAGATCATGTTTACAGTATGTGACCGGGCCAGTATACAGGCCTATGCAACCCAGACACTAATAAGTTTTAGTAGTGGTCAAAGTATATTCCCTCCTGTTTCAAGAGGTCAAATTCATACAAACTCTACAATTATTGGGTTACCACACACAGATAAGTCTGCAAACACACAGAGACGTTGGGTTTGTCCACAAAAATAGAGATTTATTTGAGTCACTAAATAAGCTAACAGTGGAACAATATCTTAAAAAAAAAGTCCTAACCCCAAAAGCTAAAATGCTATGGTTAAGAAGTAGAGTAGAGTAGGTACTTTATTGATCCCACAGTGGGGAAATTTCTGTATTACAACAGCAATAGAGAACAACCAACATAACACCATAAGAAGAGACCCCACCATAAGAACAGACACATAAGAGCAGGACTTCATAAAAACACGGAAAAGAACACAACGAGGACACAGCTGCTTTAACTTGCTGCCACTCCGCGCGGCGCAACAAAGAACACTTAGTCCTAA